ATCCGCCAAAACGACAACATGGCGGATCGGCCCCGTTCCAATTCTGTATTTTTCTACACTAAAATTCTAACACTAACTGCTATTCCGGTTTTTCCATTTTGGACTCCGACCCTCGGGGAAAAATTGTTTTTGTTTAATGATTTAATTCGGCCAAGCAACAGCTGATTGTCAAAATTTAGCCGGCTTTCCGGATTGCTTTGCTCCGCTCGCTGCCGCTCGCTCCCGCATGGCCCCCACCGCCGGGGAACCACCGCCGCTGCCCAGCTGAGTGCCCTGGGAGTGGAGGGATCAGGCAGGGAGGCCCGATCCCCGGCTGGGAGCGCTGCTTACACCAGAGACGGAGCGTCAGAGCCTCGCTCCCCCTTCAGCTCCAGCTCCCGATGGATGAAAAGACTGATCTTCTGCCAGCCCGCCGGCACCCCTGGACTGCCCCTTTCGCATCCAAGCCTCCTGACCAAAACCTTGGGATTTTTAGTTTTCTTCTTTGCCAAATATGAAATAAATAAAAATGTCTTTTTCTACGATGAACTGGGATGGGTGGTGGGAGGTAATGAGATATTGTCTGTATATTAATAATATCTATATGGTAGTGATGCCTTATGATTATGATGTATGTAACCCTATGAACTCCCCTGGATCCTCACCCCCTTGACCCTTGCCCCACCAAAACCGACGTGACCAGGAACTGCCTGAGGAGGGGGCCCCAGCCTCTTCCTCAATCACCCAGTGATTAACTCAATTGCATGGACAGTGCTGCAAATCCCTGGTCCTATCGTTCGGAGCATGGCCAGAAGGAAAAGGAGATTTGCAGGGACTCAGGAAGAAAGGACGGATTAATTCAATCAGATGTTGTCGACCCTCCGGGTGGTCCAATGTCGACATTGGCATTCATATTTATCCCCAAAACCCATCAAGGCCAAGGAAGCCTTTTGTTTTCCAAAGATCACCTTCTTCCCGCCCGGAACAAAAGCCGCATTCCTGCGGCAGGGGGTCCCAAATTCCATCATCTTTCCCCTTTGTCCACGGCCACCCCGCCTCCTCGCTCCTGATTGGTCTAGCCTCAGAAGCGAGCCGAGGGTCCCCATTGGCCCTCCCAGGGGGCGGGAGCGTCCTGATTGGCCAGGAGGCGGGGCAGACCGCCCAGCCTCCTCCCAGCTGATTCAGGCGCAGCCAATCAGGGCGAAGCCGGCCGGCAGAGGGCGGCGGGAGTTTTGAAACTGTTTTTCCTTTGTCTGTATACTATAAAAGTGCCTGGAAATTCTGTAAATTCATGCTTATGGTGGAGATATCCCTGTAACGCATCCTTTTCAGCTGAATCGCAAATAAAAGCCTTGATCGTTGGATTCTTCCGCCTCGGGTGAGCTGCTTACATTTTAACCTTCCTGCATGCTTGGATTGGCTTCCGGAAATCTCGCCGAGGTACCAGGACCCTCTTTGGTGCGGTCCTAGGGCTCTCCCTCTTGGAGGGGCCCCCAAAAGAGCTCGATATC